TCTTTGTGTTGCATTCCATGTGTTCAAATCGGACGCTAATTTGAACACAAGGAAATGTGATATTTCATACTCAAAAGTGATGAAATGTACCACTTTCTTAGGTCTCCATCACCCTTGATCATGCATGATAGGGTGATTGACATTTTGGTCTCATTTTGCATTTATTGAACTTGCACAATTGGTTTCACAAGCCATCATGCAATGAAATTGCTTAATTGATGATTTATGAACCAAATTTTGTCCCTCCTTTGATTTCCCCTTGAAAATGAGAGGCAAAGTGTGCAAATAATCCTTGAGAAATACATTGCTTAGCTATGTTTGCTCTCTATTGCAGCAAGGGAGTCCATGTCAGCAGTGGCCGACCGGCCCCCTATCGGCTACCAATGAAATTTGCACAGTGTGTTGGTAAGATGGAGCAGAGGTGTTCTGGAAGTGGGCATAATTTTTAGTGATCAAAATGTGTAAACAGAGGCTTGCAGCAGCAAAATAGCAGCTTTTCGGGCAGAAATCGAGCACGTGCATGAGCCTTCCTTGCATTTCAAGCTTATTTAACATTTAAATATCTAGTTTAAATACGTGTTGTAATTAATTAGTTGTAACTAATTAAGAGTTGTAAATAATTAGTTAGTTTAACTAGTTATTCGATTTCAGTTTGTAATAGTTAGTTAACTAGAATAGTTAATTAATTCGAGTTTTGTAATAATTAGTTAGCTCAATTAGCGTAGCTAGTTAGCTCTTATTCATTTGAACCCTCCTTCGCGAGGACGTAATGTTGTAGTAAGTGTGCGTACGTGTGTGTATGTTTTCTAACCCCACGTCTTTCTTCCTTTTATTTAATCGCTTTCGATGGTAAAATTAGAGTCGTGTTTTAAATTAGCATACCTTATGCCTTATGCTTGTATCCATTCATTTGTATTGCATGCACCGAGGTTCGGCGCATCATTCAAACTGCATCACTATTTCAATGTCTTCTTTGAATACGTGTTTAATCGCATGTTGTTCAAATCGAATCATATGCTATATAGTAGTCGAGTCTATTAATTGCATATTGCATGCGTTGTATTAGACACTCAACATAGTTAGGAATCATGCATATTTTTCTAACTCATGTTTTCTTAACTTGGAGTACTAGGTGAGTTTTTACGCTTTAGCATACTTCCATGAGTGTGAATGTTGACATGATTAGCATGCTTGCCATGAGGCTATGTGCTTAAATGCTAAACTACTTGAATGCCTATGGATGATGGCTTGTTGTTTGAATTGGAACAGTTCAACAAATGTGCATTTTAAGCCTACTCTGTTGAGTGGCCAATCAGTTTTAAACCCACTATGTTTGGTGGCCAAACTGCAAACTTTAAGCCCACTTGATGTGGCAAATTCAAACCAATTTAGCAAACAAACATGAGTTGAATTGTTTCAAATTGAGCAAACTAGTCTATACTTGTGCACATCACATAGTAAAGCTAGTTTAATAATCAACATGAGCACATAATATTTATAAAAAATCATATCATGATTAGTAGAGGTCGATCTTTGATCGGGCGAGTGGGGGTGTTCAATGCATGACCTTCCCTTCTCGTACCTAAGTTTCGAGCCAAGGCAACTTTGGTGATGACGGGCACGTGGGCTTTGGCACGAGACATGAGTTTTGTAAATTTTTCCAAAACAAAAAATACTTAGGTGACGACTCTGTATCTGGCAAAGTAATCCAATTTTGACATTTTGATTCAAAATCAGTTTTTCAGAACGATTTGTCGGATTTGGACTCTTTGGCATTTACCAGTTTCACATTGCACTTGTGAGATTTGATTCAGAATCGTGGGAGTCCGAACTGTGAGGCCTTTCTTTCAAACCTTCCGAAAGGGGGCACAAAAAATGCGAGTCATAGTTTATGGCAACTCTGCTGGGGACATAGAGAACTTGACTCGAACTCATGATACGACCTTTTTTTTTCTACACTTATGTGTTTCTTTGTATTTATATTTGCATTTGCATCGGTGCGCCTAAGTCACAGTGTTTGCCATCTGCTATTCCTGAATGGTTTGCCGGAGGCTTGATAGGAAAAACTTGCCAAAAGGCTGACCGGTTACGGGCTCTGCCACGATGAGAACACAACCCTTGGATTTGGAGTACCGTTGTACCGTTTGATCCTCCTTTCACTTCTCGGTGTTAGGTGTGAGAGGTATATTAGGTAGTGTTGCCGAGGTACCCTTTTCGACCAATCGACCTAGTTGCATATCGAAAACCGTAGAGACTATTTCAAACTAGGACAGGTTGCTTACCCAAATTCAGAATTGCATGAAACACTTTGCTTGAGTCGTGAACCCTAGTTCCTGACGAAACTAGGACAGAGTGACCCTACCCCATCATAGGATTGTTTTGGCTCTCACTTGACTGTTATATGCTTTTAGAGTAAAACTCTACAGAAATGTATGAATCAATTGCAAGTTTGGGCATCAGTTTTGGGACAGATATCAATGTTGAGGACTTGAAATAACATATAATGTAACTAATTGTTAGAGGACTTGAAATACTACTAGAAAATTGTTTATCCTTGTTCTTCTACACTAATATTAGTTCGAATCTTAAATAAAATAAAAAAAAATAAAAAAAACACTCTCAAACTAATGGCAAATATATATGTATATATATATATATATTTAACTTTTTAACTTATATAATAAAAAATTAACTCTTTCAACTACATCTCAAACACCTAGATCTACTAACAAACCAAAAATGGTACAAAACGTTTCTTAAAAAAAATAAATATAAAATCTAATATCTTAAATTTGAGTCACTTTAAAGAGTCACTAGAGGTTGACATGCACACCCAATTTTAAAAAAGAGTAATATTATAAATCTAGAAAAATTTATTCGGAAATTACTCAAAAATACCTATGCGTGGTTTAAATTTATTTCATACATGAATCCCACGATACATACTTTCAATATCCACTATACATTCCATTCTTGTCCCAAATATGAGATAGTAAGTCTGGTTCTCAAACTTACCGTTAAAAAACACAAAAATGCTTCAAAAATTTTATTTTTTATTCTTGAAAAGACAAAGACAAGAACAAAAAACCAAAACTAAAGAGACATTTTTCAAGAGTTCCTTCGAATCAGTACTGAATTGGTCAAAAGTTAAGTGCTAGGTTGTGAGTGTATTGAGCTCAAATCCTTCATAGTAAGCTCATCATAGCTAGATAGTGATGTTTATGGGTTTTGGATCCTATTTCATTGGCTTGTTTAACTGAGAAATCTGTGTTTGGATTTAGCATAAAAATAAATTTTGAGTCATTATAAATTCACTTGCCGACCAACTTAATGCGATGCTTAGAAACTTTCTACTATAAGGGAAAAGAGTAATTTTGACAGGAAAAAGATTGAACAAGTACTTGACAAGTTTGTCTCCACCAAAGAACAACTTTATGAATTTATTTTATTTTATTTTTTTTTAAAAGTTATAGGAAAAAGAACCTTTATGAATGAACTCTTAAATAATTATAATTACATCAATAAAGCAAAAAATAAGTAAGTGTTAAAATTGAAGGCATCGAGTCTGCCAAGGCCAGTGGAGGTTTATTTATCTCTTCTTTTTTTTTTCCGCTCTTTGCCAAGCCCCTCTCGGTTTGCTTATGGCATATGATTTGTTGGGTTTCATGTGCCAACTTTTTTTGTCAATGAAAAAACGAAGTTGTGAAACAATCACATTAATGTATCTTTATTTTAAAGATAAATTACACTCGTTACTTTTTGTAATTTGATCTAAATTTTAAGTAATTTCTGAATTTTTTTTAAGTACATACAATTTTTATTTTGGTATTAATTACACTACACTTTTATTTTTCCTGAACTTTTATTCATATAAGTGAATACTTTTTGGTTAAATTACACTTTTTACCAAAATTTCACTTTACTCTTTTATTTTTTAATTGTAAAAGTTAAGTCTTTAGATAGTAATCTTAGTTTCAATGTAGTTATACCATCATCTCATTATTTTTTTGATTGATGAAGAAAAAATTTCATTAAAAATATAAAATTAAAAGCACAGGGAAATATAATGCACTGAGAGAGGTTCAAAGTGCAAACTCCTCTACTAATGATGATCACATCCACATAACCAACCCCTCAGTTTCACAATTTAAAAAAAAAAAAAAAAAAGGAGAAGCTAATAAGCTCTTAACTACAAACCAAAAAATCTCCCATGCCAAACACACTGCCCCAGAAAGCTGTGATAGCAAGTTGAAAGGTAAAAATGTATATGTGTTAATAGTTTTTCTCTAGTACCGTTAAGCGTACTCATGTGGACCTGACGTGATCACCTTCTATCCATTTAATTATTGACAAGTGAAGGGAGGACTACATTAAAACCATGATTAAAATATGAAGATTTAATTATTGTTATTTGATTCAAATTTGAACACAAAAAATGCAGTTTATGCTTCTAAATGGACAATTTTTAGGGCTTATTTAACATACGAGGTGAAATTATCATAATGAGGACACCACCATTACCGAAATACATTCATTTTTTACCAAGACCAACAAATGAATCTTTAGCAATTACTTTGTAGTGGTATAAAAAAGTACTGTGTTATACATATTAAAAATCAACTGACACAAGTTATCAATATAGTTGGAATGATTTAACTTATCGGGATACTTTTGCAATTGTTTTTTTTTATTGATATATTTTATTTTGCACTTTGTATCTTGTTCTTATATCAATAAAATTTCTTTTGCCGATTAAAAAAAGTTACCAATTTTTTTAAAATTATTAGTCGCGAAAAACAGTTTTATAACAATAATTGCATCAACTATATCAGTTATGCACTTATATATTGTGAATTGATATATATCCCTACCTTAGTCTATACATAAGTGATTTTCATTCTCACTGAGTATTGATATTTGGAGGCCAAAAATCTATTATGTATGGGATAATGATATTGAAAACTATAGCATCATTATGGTGAATGGGAAGTATACATATGCTTGCCAAAATTTGGATAAACAAGCAGTAGTACACTTTATAACCATTTCGTGAAAGTTCGCACCAATACATGTAGTAGTATACTTTCTTTTTTATTACAACATAAGAAGAAAAACATTAACAACTTCAAAATGAAACAGGAAAATATAAAAAGCACACAACTGGCAACTACTTTTGATAAATATAAATGCGTTGGAGATCAAGCATCGGACCAAGTAACATCCAAGTTGCCCCAATCTTTTTCAGGAACACCCAAAGCCTTCCACACGGCTTTGGAGGCATCAACAATATTATTAGGACATGGAGGTTGGAAAGCATGATCGGCATCACAACCCAAGGTGGAATCACACTCGTCAACCACCATTGCTTTTACACTTCGTCCATTTCCATGGATGATAATGTTGTTCAAGCACCTCTGTCGCTTGTTGAACCACCCGGTTGACAGTGCCACCACCGGCGTGTTATCTGAATGGAACCTGTTATCGCATGCAGATGGCCCTCCGCCATCGGCGCCCTTCTGAAAGCTGTTGATTGTTAACAATGCCTTTGTACGAGCGGACACTGGTGGCGAACACGTGAAAGTAGTGTAAAGCTTACCTTCCTCGCAACACTCAGATTGATTTTGATTGTTGCATTTTCCCTGAGGCTTCTTGCCCCTTAGCTTGCCACTAGGCTTGCAAGTTTGAGCTTCGATGCTTGAAAAAACTGTCACAATAAGAAAAAGCAACATTAGAAGTTGATTCTTCATCCTATTTTTTTCTTCTTTTTTGTATTGTGATTATTCGGTGTGAAGTAACTAAGTTAATTTACACTATATATAGTAGAATGATGATAAGTGACAAGTTTGTACTATTCGTTTGTACTATTCTGTTTTACAATATTATACCCTTTGCCCCCTTTGTTTTGGGGCATAGATGGTGTGATGGAATTAGAATGGAAGGGGGATCTACTTAGTGTTGTGTTTGTTTGTAGAATTGAGAAAGTGATTAGGATGGAGTAGAGGATTAAGATGGAGGTTGGAAGGGAGATTGAGATGGACGAGATAGAGGTGGTATTAGAAAAATAATGAGGGAACTAGAAATTTTTTTATTTTTTTTTTATTTTTTACATGTTGGGCAATTTTTTTTAACATTAATATTTATTTTTTTGTATTTTTTTATTTGTTTTATTATTTTATATAAAAATAATTTAACAATTCCTATACTAAAAACTATCATTAAAACAAACACAATTTTATTTAATTCTCTCACTATTAATCCATTCACTATAAATCTCTTCTATTCTACCTCTTAAAACAAACGGGCCTTTGTTTAAATTAAATTAATGTGCCATCGTGCTGAGGAACAATTGTTTTCTAGTAGGGGCAAATTAGGATTTCTCTTTCAGGGGCTAAAATAAGGTTTTTTTTTTAAATTTTTTTTTAATATCAATTGATATAAACAATTTTATTTCAATTAAAGAATGAAAAATAAATTAATATTTAATACTAAATTAATACGTATAATCTAAAATAAGTTTCGATTTGAACAAAAGAAAACAATTTGCTACAAAATCATCATTCATTTTGTTAACTGAAAGAGTAAGCACAAATACAATTGCTTTGCAAACAAGTGGATAGATTGTTTCATTTTTTAGTCATTCTCAACCATTGACGCAAAATTTTTGTAATTTCTTAAATGTATTTTCTTATGATCCGTGAAGCTTTGAAGATAAAACTTGTATGCAATCAACTTTCTTTCACTTTAAATTTTTTATTTAGTATTTTTTTTATTCTAATAAAATTTGCTCAACATTTTTCGTATAACAATAATATTCACTGTCATAATAGGCAATGGCATGGAAATAATGACTCAAATTTATTTGTGAGATGTCAAGCCGTTAAATAATTTGTCATTTAAACGAGGCTAGTAATCTTCCTTTTGGTTATTCCAAATCGTAATGCACAATACGGACTTGTTTGTTTTTGCATATGTTTAATGTTAGAGTTATATAATTTTTCACGTAATAATTTACACACGCATTCACATAGTGCGGAACTTTTCATATCTCTAAAATTGTGTTTGATTTATAGATTTTGAAAGAAATTTGGAAAGAGAAATAGAAAAAGTAGATGAAATATAATTATATTTCACTTACATTTTATACACATTTTTTTTTTCTTTTCAAATTCATATACTAAATATAACTTAAAAATATGCTTAGTATAAATTGTATCATAAATCTTGTAAAAAACAAATAAATAAAAATTCCAAATACACAATTATTTCCTTGTTAATAGAATGACGTGGGCAATTGAAAAAGGGATGGGACCATATTCATTCAAAGCGAGGGGCCACAATTAATAAAAATTGTATACAATTTTCAAAGAACTAACCATATTAGTGGCACTCTCTAGATAGCCGGCCGGGGATGGCCCCTCATGTTCTATGTTTGCTTCTAAGCTTATTAATTTTATTACGTGTATCTTTGTTGCGAGTTCTTGGCTTACATCAATATAAGGAATATGGTGATTTTCGAATATTTTTGCCGCAATGAAAATATGATTTATTCAACAAGTTCATGTGATCGTATGAAAAATTATTGAATTTGGGAAGAAAGTCCATGTTAAGTCTGGAAAAATAACAATTTTGGGGTCAAATTTCATGATTTAGACTTTCAAATTAGTAGTTTTATTGTTTTTTCCGCTACTTTTGGAAGGTTTTTCTTTTCACTAAAAATAATAATATATAAATCTAATTTTTAGATCCATTTTTTAGACTCAATATGTTAGTAATATGATTAATTAATGATTATAGAAGAAACGAGAAAGAATGTTATCTTAAGAGTGTTATCTTAAATATCCTAATTAATTGTTAGAATATTAGATTTCAAAAGAAAATCTAATTTTCAAATTTGAATAGCAATGTACTTACCTTAGTGAGGGGTTTCCAATTTTTATGTCCCTTATTTTGAAATAATACTTACCAATCAGTCCTATTAACTAGACTTATTTACTTAGAGGTCCTAACTGATAAATTTATCACTATAAAAATAAGAGATTGATAAATTTATCACTATAAATTTATTCAAAACAACAAAGAGACTGATAAATTTTTCACTATAAATTTATTCATAAAAATAAGAGACTAATAAATTTATCACTTGATAAATTTATCAATAGTACTTAATGGGTAATAAATTTCAAAAGTAGGACTTATTGGTAATTTTTCCTATTTGGAAATACTTCTACAATTCATTGTATAATTCAAATTTTCCAATTTGCATGATTTTTAGTTTTTATTTTTTATTTTGTGTTTTAATAGGAATAGACTTATTCTACGTTCCGTGAGTGGACACCAGTTTTTAGGGTTTGAGGGGGAAAAAAAAAATTTAGTAGCTTTTTAATTATTTTTGTATGATGTTTTTTCTTTTATATTTCTTTTCGTAGATTTGAAAACATTTGTCTACTAGAATATAGTCCATATTTTACTATTAGCTGGGCTTTTCTCCCATCATGATGTGAACCGAAGGATGTTGTCTGGGCTCGTGGCCCATTACGAGTTTTATTTTAATAATCTAAAATGTTTATTTTATAAGATTTTTTACGTATATCATATATATAAAAATTAGATCGATCTAATAATCGTAGCTAATTCAAAATATTGAGTTTGTCATTAAAAAAAAAAAGATTTTCTGTATTTAAAACTTTCATTTTTTTTGAAATAAATGTGATACATTAAATCAACAATGCTACATCCCTCTAATTTACTATCTCTAAATCACCCCTAATGATGTGACATTAAGGTTAGACCATACGATGAAATGTTTTACACATTAAAATTTGACACTTGTCAAATATATCATTAGAGGTGGTTTTTAAAAGTAATAAATTAAATGTCTCAAGTATTTTTCTAAATCAAATAGGATATGATTATCATACAACATAATTTTTTTTTTTATAAATAATATATACAAAAGACCTTAAAAAATAATTTAAATCATTAAAACTAAACCCGTAATAGAAATACCCTAATTTAAGTAATGGTGTGTACTAAGATGATCAATGGTATGTAAATAGAAATATCCTAACTTATATTTGGATAAATTACAAATACATCGTTGAAATTTTCTTAAAATATGGATTGCTCGCTATAATTTAGAAAATTACAAATACTCCATTGATTAAATTTTTTTTTTCTAACTTCTCTCATTTACAATAATAAAATTAGTTGAATTAATAATTGAAATATATTCATACATCATTAAAAAAATTTAATTGACTTGATAATTTATTAATAAAATTGGTCATCTGTTGTGAAATTAAAAACGTCAATGGCCATGATGTAATTTCTAAACCACATAGGGCAATTCATATTTTAAGTAAACTGCAGAGGGTGTAATTATAATTTACCCTTTATTTTTGTGGGTTCATTTGAATCATTAATTTAACAAAATATGCCAAACAAATTATTTATTAAAAAAAATTAAATTAATCAAGAGCAGGGCCAAAAAGATTCTAACCACAATCGAAGAAGAACCAGACCAAAAAAAAAAAGAACCAAAAAAAAAAAAAAAAGTTGTATATTGTTTGTTATGGTTTTATGATTTCATCAAATGAATACCAATATTTAATCAATTTCATTTTTCATATAAATGATCAATTACACAAACCCTACAAAATAAAAAGGAATTTTTTTTAAAATAATCAAAATAGATATAGATCCACCAAATGTGAATTACATCATTAATCAATTGGACACCTAGTAATTCTAATTCTCACTTTATTTTTTAGAGGACTTTGACGAAAAATCCAATCTTAGATTTTCTTTACTCAAAAGTTCAGGCGCTAATTTATTATGTTCATAAAGACAAGTTATCGTAAGATGACCAAAATACCCCTCAACCAGCTTCGCCTCTCTCATGCTTTTGTTTCTCTCTTATTTCAGTCCTTTCATATTTCTCTCTCCCCTCTCTCTCTCTCTCTCTCTCTCTCTCTCTCTCACTCTCTCTCTCCTCTGCCAATCTCAATGTTACTCACTACCTCTGTCGTCCTCCGTGACAGTATTGCCACAGTACCTCTTCCACTAGCACCACCGTAGCTCCTCCACTCTTGTTCGCCACATCGTTTAGATTGGCGTCTCCGGTCAACCCAACTAGTTTCTTGTACATGGAGCATCCATTATGCCAGCCCACTGCCGAAACCCTCGATAGATCCAGCACGAATATCTTAGGCTTCTTCTGTCTCTCACTGTGTGTGTGTGTGTGTGTGTGTGTTGAATTATGGTGGATTTGAACAGATATGTTGTGTGGTGATGATAAACGTATATGTTGTGTAATGATGCTGATTTTTTATTTTTATTTTTTTGATTGGATGATGATGAATTTGTGGTGTAATGATGATGTGTCTATGGTGTGATGATTTGTTGGCTCTATTTTTGTGGTTGTTATTATTGTTGTTGTTGTTTTTTTTTTTTTTTTTTTTGAACAAATGTTGTTATTGTTGATGATAAACATATTGCAGATGAATAAATGAACAATCGCTCAAATTGTTTAAATTGGCTAAGATTTGTTCAAATCTGTTCAAAATAGCTCAGATCTGGTCAATTTGTTTTTGAACAGATCAAATTTGGTTTGATTTGGCATTTCAATAGATAGAAAAAAAAATTGAAAAAAATGAATATAGATTTTTCAACAGATAAAGAGAGAAAAGAGAAGTGAAGACAAAAACAGATAGAGATAAAAAAGAAGTTGTTCGGATTTTTAATCCGAATTTTGTTGCATGTGACTTATTTTGGCAAATACTGAGAC